CTATATGTAAGTATATATATTTATATATAAAAGTATATGTATATATATATATATATATATATATATATATATATATAAGTATACTGTGTATGTATATGTACATATAAGAATTATGTGAGTAACTACCTTTCCTTTCTCCAGGCGATACATCATTCAAGCTCTTAGCTGCTCTACAGCATTTGGATTACTGGACGTGCGTGGAACTACCCCTAGCACTTGATTTCTTTTCTTTCTCTTTCTTGGCATTACTAGTCATGTCATCAGAGTCAAAGCAGGTCCCATCCACGTACATGTCTGGGGTCAAATCCATAAGGGAGTGACATACTTTAAATCTCAGGATGATGTTTTTCATTTTATCCTTCTACGTCGTCTAATTTGTCTTTTTTTCTTTTTCTTCCTCTTCGTTCTTTCATATTTTTGTTTATTTATCTTTTGGATTGATTTTGAACCCAGCTGATGGCAGATTTCACTCTTTAGTCGACGGGGAACTGCTACTTAACGCGAACTGAGATCTTCCAGTTGCAAATGCAGGGCTCTTTCAGTGCAACAGTAATAAATACACATATAAATGTATTCGTTATCATTTAACTGTTACCTCCTACAAACGGCCAATCACATCCAAGGAAGGACCGGTATTCAAGTGTTACCGTAACAAATAAGCAAAGATTATAGCACGAACTTTTAAAATGCTAGAGAGATGTTACTTGGGTCATGACGAGTAGTTGATGTTTTTTTTATGTATCTAACAAAGAGGCACTACTGGAGTCTACTTTTAATCGAGTTGTATAACATGACATATGCCTTGTTTTCTTAATTTACTCGTGTATCCCAAAGTTTCCTTTAAGCAAGTTACAGTGCCTTATTTATTCGGTAAGATCTAGTCAGGAAGATCTACTCGACCCTGCCTACATGCTGATTTCAGAATGTCCGATTTGGTTCTCGACATTCGACTTGTGAATGGTATCCTCGAGACATCTTGAAACTACTTATCAGTCTACTTGAATCTGTTAATTTACTCGACTTTGAACTTGAAAACGAGACAACATATGACAGTTCACTTGACCTGAAATACAGTTATCAGAAAACCATTTAGGTTTCACTATAATTTATGTTCGTGTGGATAAAGGGTCTTAAGATGCAATTCAGTTTTATTGAAACTAAAAATACAGAAAGCTTCAATGAGAGGTACGGGTCATAATTCCAGCCACGCCCTCCTTATCCATAGTAGTTGTAACCATATGGGTTATAGTTGAAGTTGTTGTAATAGGGCGTGTTGAAGTTGTTGTAATAACCTCCATACGGATTTGCGAAGCCAGAAACAGCACCCTGGAAAGCACCCTGTGCGGCACCGAGGAGATTGCCAAAGAAGAACCTGTTTTGGCCCTGTCCTTGGCGGGCCTGGGTTTGGGACTGAGGGAGGGCCACGCACAGGCACACAACGGCCAACACCACTGCCAACTGGACCACGTGACGTAGCATCTGAGGACAGAAACGCGGACTCGTTAGGACTCTGGTAGTGAATCGGGCGAGCGGCTAGTAGTCCTAGCAAGGGAAACAGTGGAGGGGATAGAAACAGACAGCAAGGGGAGCGACAACAGTGGGAGAAACAGGGACAGCAAGGGTAATAGAGGAGGAAAGAGAAACAGACAGCAAAGGAACCGTCAACAGTGGAAGAAACGGAAACAGCAAGGGCAAGAGCAGAGGGAAAATAAACAGAGACAACAAGGGAAGATGAAGAAGAAAAATGAGGAATGGGATGTTGTGTTCAACTTATGACGATTGACTTTACGCTAGAGGTGTGTTTGTCATTTGTCTTTCGCACTGTTGCAGTCATGTTAGGAAAAGGACTGAGATGTATGTATAGTTCCGGTTTCAACTTAATGCTGATGTACCTGGTAATTGACAAGGGGTTTATTATCAGTTTGGTGTGAATTTGGTGAGTTTTTCACTGAGTGTATTCGTAGTAATATCACATTCTTTGCTATTTTATTTTATCAATAGTTGTGTCAAGTAATATATATATATACATAGTATATACATGAATATATATCTATTTACATATGATTACACACACGCACATATACATGCATATATATATATATATATATATATGTATGTATATAACATATACACATATATACATGCATATATATGTATATATATATATATATATATGTATATATATATATGTATGTATATATATAAATATCAGAGTTTCAAACAAATGCAAAAAACATAACCACTAAACACAAAATCCAAAACAAGACTCACTCTAGCGGCGAAATTCGTAAACCGAAAAAGACGGTAAGATTAGCTCGCGTCTGCAGCGGAACTACCTCCTAAAGCGATCCTTTGCTTTATATATACGACTTCTCCGCCACTTCTCCCCCCCCCCCTTTACCCCCCTACCACAAGCAAAAAAAAAAAAAACATTTTCCCCAATACCCCCTCCTCATCCCTCCCTTGCCTGGCCTCATACCCCCTACCCCGTACCCAAGGGGTGGGGGAGTGATGTGTGTAGTAACATCTGGAGGAGTGGTTGATGCGGTGTCCAAAGTGCATTTTTCCCCCTAGTTTCTGCTTGTTGCTATTTGACGCACACCCTCTCGGTCTTTCTTGCCATTTTCTCTCTCTCTTCTTTCTCACACACGCACGCACACACACAACACAATACAAAAGCAATGTGAATATATAGGTATATACATATAGCTACACACACACACAGACATATATATATATTATATATGTATGTATATATACACATATATATGAATATATATATATACATACATGTGTGTGTGTGCGTGTGTACATATTTCCCGCCTAACCTTTCTGTCCTCGCCCCTCCTACAGATGAACCGCCTCGCCATCCTGCTCCAGCCGCTCCTGCTGGGGGCGTCCCTCGCATTCGCGCAACCCGACAGAGGACAGGCGGCTAGCGCAAAGTCAGGATCGCAGACGAGGCACTTTGGTTTGGGCGGTTTTAGCGGTTATGGCGGTTACTGCGGTTATGGTGGATAGGGTTATGGCCATAGACATCCTTATGGACATCACTATGGTTGAGATTATCCTGCCAAGATGATCGCTTCGGTGGAACTGAGTTCGGTTATTGCCTAATTTGTATTTTTTTTTTTTTTTATTGAAGGTCTTTCGTTTTCTTTTTCACCACATCTGTAATCAAATAGTGTCTTTTTTCTCACTTTTTATCTAATGCCTTTTATTTTCATTTTATCTCATTCATTTGGTGTATGATTCGCAATAAATTTTGTCTGAGCAATTTCGTGTTTCATTCAACGTGAGGGGAAATTATTTATCTTATATTGGTCAAATAAGGGGAAAAAAGTACTTATGTTTCATATTACTTCTTGATTCTCAGAAGAAAAATCTTTACCATTACCTTTCTTGGTAAAAAACGTTTATAGATACATAACTATTACATACACAGTTTCTTTCGTTTGTCTTCCATTCAGATATATTAATGAAGATAAAGTAAATCCTTTTACTAGTACTTACTTGTACTATAATTCGTCCAGTCTCAGAAAAGGAAAAACTAGCAACTCACAGTTAACTCTGAAGAACTCCAATTTGCTAAATCACTTGAGAAAAATAAATAAATCACTAACTGTAAAGGAACAAAACTATTGCATTTGAATTTTTACAACCTATTACACATCCGTAGACATAAACATATTGTCAGGCGATTAGAATTATAGAGAGACATTAGTCATATCACCGAGTTGAAATATTATGTTCGTTTATTTCAGTTTATACTGAGTGCGTCCGTGCGTGTGTGTATGGGTGTGTGTGGTATGTGTATACATATGCATACATACATGTGTGTTTGCATATCTATCTACTTATGAATAGATAGATGGAAATAAAGTTCGATATAAGCACATATACATATATAGAGATATGTATATATAAGCATATGTGTATAAATAAAAGAATATATGTATATATATACATACACACACACACATATATATATATAAGTATACTGTGTATGTATACGTACATATAAGAATTCTGTGTGTAACTACCCTTCCTTTCTCCAGGCGATACATTATTCAAGCTCTTAGCTGCTCTACAGCATTTGGATTACTGGTCGTGCGTGGAATTACCGCTAGCACTTGATTTCTTTTTCTTTCTCTTTCTTGACATTACTATTCATGTCAACAGAGTCAAAGCAGGTCCCATCCACGTACATGTCTGGGGTCAAATCCGTTAGGGAGTGACATACTTAAATCTCAGGATGATGTTTCTCTTCTTTTTCTTCTACGTCTTCTAATTTGCCTTTTTCTTTTTCTTCCTCTTCGTTCTTTCGTCTTTTCGTTTATTTCTCTTTTGGATTGATTTTGAACCCAGCTGATGGCAGATTTCACACTTTAGTCGGCGGGAACTGGTGCAGAACGTGAACTGAGATCTTCCAATTGCAAATGCAGGGTTCTACCATTGCAACAGTAATAAATACACATATAAATGTATTCGTTATCATTTAACTGTTACCTCCTACAAACAGCCAATCACATCCAAGGAGGGACCGGTATTCAAGTGTTAACCTAACAAATAAACAAAGATTATGCCACGAACTTTTTAGAGAGATGTTACATGACGAATATTTGATGTTTTTTTATGTATCTAACAAAGAGGCACTACTGGAGTCCACTTTTAATCGAGTTGTATAACATGACATATGCTTTGTTTTCTTAATCTACTTGTGTATCCTAAAGTTTTCTTTAGGCAAGTTATAGTGCCTTATTTATTCGGTAAGTTCTAGTCAGGAAGATCTACTCGACCCTGCCTAAGATATGTGAAACTGTTGCTAATTTCAGAATGTACGACTTGTGAATGGTTTCCTTGAGTCATCTTGAAATTACTTATCAATCTACTTGAATCTGTTAGTTTACTCGACTTTGAACTTGAAAACGAGTCAGCAGAAAAACCTTTAGGTTTCACTATCATTTATGTTTGTGTGGATAAAGGGTCTTAAGATGGAA